TAGAAGATGATCTAATGCGAAAAGACGGGCCGACACCATCGTCTAATAGATTCCAACTTCTGTTCACATAGACGAGATCGTTGCCCACATAGGCCGTACCGTTTGGGGATTCTTATGTGGAGCGGAAATAATCTAGAAAATGGATTTCTATAAAACAGATTAGCCACGGAAAGCATTTTCAGCCAGATGGTCATCATTTTTATTGTTATGTCCTTTCTCAGAAATCCCGATTTCTCGTGCTCGTTAATGAGGTGTTCTTATTGTTTTATTAATGTCGCTTGCAGCAAAATAGAAGAAAATGATTGGTATACTAGTGTTCCTTAGGCGAACATCTCTATAGTAATTACTGGTGTTGACGATTTCTTTAGATCGAGAACCTTGTGCAGAAATAGACCAATGTTGTTAGTATCTGTACAAAAAAACGGAGGACTTTTCCTAAAAAGAGAGCAATGGAAGCATGACATAGTCGCTGAGCTGTAATAGTGTCCAGTAGGCAAGGAAAGAAGGATGCTGTTATGATATCTAGAGTTCATCTCTCAATCTTATCTTCAACTCATTAAGTTCAAGATCTATATCTATATATATATAGATTCAAGATGTAGATATCCGATGAGTGTTTCGTTGGAAGCGGTAATGTTTCCACGCTGATGACCACTCATTTCTTTAAAGAAAGCAGGAGCGTTCCGTCGAGAACATAGACACGATGTTGTAAGACGATATCAAGACAAAATGCACGTTGTCCGGTTAAGGAAGGAAGAATACCAGTAATTTTTCTAAACTATTGCTTAAGCTGCAGATGCTACAAGGGCAATCTACTAGATCTCCCCGAAGTTAATGCTCGATTTCTGTCCGATTTGTAACCTCATTCTTATTGTAGGTGGTTTGAAAACTGGTTTTCTTTTTAATGCTGGAGTATTATATATTATTGCAAAGCTAATTTTATGCACTTTCGGTAGTTTTTAAAGCACTTATAATATGAGTTGCGTTTTTAAAAAATTTAGAAGCCTGGAATTTTAGTTGTCAAAACAGCTATTTCTACGAATTCACACACGAACATGGTATATCCAGACGACTCGATACATCACAGGACATAGGGCCAATGATGTTTTCTTATCGCGCAGCGCAACGTTTACAGAAAACTTCGTCGTGGCGAATTCGACCTTCGAGATAACGGAGATCACAGACGACCTTCTGCTTTTGACGACTCTGAATTGAAGGTTTTTCTACAACCATATACTACTGTTCCATAACTTGAAGAAGAACTCAGTTTAAGCACCTTAACTGTGTTGGAATGTGTTAGAATATTTGGAAAAGCTTGGAACGTCGGAGAAGCTCCACAAGTGGGTTTTGCACGGATTGAATGGCAGTCAAAATAAACCGTTGGTTTAAGGTATCGACGTCGCTTCTTCTGAACAATTACAGCGCCGTTCCTCAATTCTATTATGATATGACGATGAATAGATCTTTTGTGATAACTGGAAACGATTGGCTCAATCGTTATGATTGATTTCGCTGCCGTGAAAATCGTAGTAGGCAGTAAATAAAAATGTAAATATTGTGATTTCCACTGCATCCTCAGCGTAACTGGGTTCAATGCCAAAATGGGCTCCCCAGATCACCACCGTTGACGGGCGAATGCTGATGGCACTGGTAGATAGAAAACTAGCTGAGAGAAATACAGAACAATGGCCTCCGTAGAGCAATGTGTAATGCGCGAGGCCCGGAGAGAGAAATCGTGGTTCGGTCTGGCCCAGGAATAGTTTTGCGAATATCTCAGCATCGTTATAACTGGCTCATTGTTTTGAACAGTGATGAAATGAAACTCCGAAGCACTCCTCATATCAAAATTGCACCAAGGTAAGGTCATCTAACGGTTTAGTGTTTTGCTGCTGGTTGAATCTATCACAACTTCCTGTACCAGAACGATAGGATTGTGGCGGAGAAATATGTGCAGTAAATCGACGAAGTGCATCAGAAACATTAATTGTTGCGCTCCACATAGACGAACAGAAGGGCACCAATCATTCTACATGATAACACGCGCTGACCGGTCGAACGTAAAACGCTGTAGAAGTTTAACGGACCACGAATCTCTGTCTCATTCACACTGCCTCCCAGACTCTCGACTACCGGATACTCCTTATTCAATAAGCTGCGCAATTTCTTATATGAGATATGCTTCAGAAACAAGTCGAGACCAAAAATGCCTTGAGAAACCTCATAGCCTCTAGAACTCCGGAGTTTTATGCAGTCGGAATGGAAAAATTGCTTCTTGTAAACGAAAATCTGTAAGTTTTAATGGTTTTTATTTTGGTTAGTAAAGTTCATTTCGAGCTGAGATGTGTTATTTTAAAGAATGTGGGCGTGAAATCCCGAACTTTTGTCCTAACAACCTAATAGAACAAGATTCCTGCTGACGAACTCCTAATTAACTGTTCACTGGATGTGGTACACAAATCCTTACTTGTTTTTACGGAACTGGAAAATCAACCATGCAGCATAAACTCGTTAGCGATCCCCTGAGCAAATATTACTATTGATTTTTGCGGCTTCACACGCTCAAGTTTGAACTGACACAAATGAACTTTGAATTGAAATTGTGCTTCGACCACGCATAATTAGTTTTGAAGACATGGTACTTAGGCAGCCAAGTTCAACTATGTTCTTATGTTGCTAAATGTTCTGCCTTGGGAAATAAGATCCACCTTATTGCTTGCGCATGCGTGTATGTATTTGGAAATCATAAATGAAGAGTACTTGGGAAAAATTGCTACCCACTCAGCCACATAGTGTACGCAATGAGAAATTCTCACATTTGATGAATGTCGTAAACGAATCCGCTGATAGAGCCGGTTAAACGGGCATGAGAAGATAAAGTTTAGCTGCAGCAGGAAGCATTAAAAGTAGAAAGGGATAGAGCACAGGTAATTTCCGCCTAGAAGTTTTTGCTACATTTTTTTAGAATACCCCATCATCACATTTACTGTGGAGTTCGCAGCACTTCTTGCATTCGATTGATTTCCTCGCATCCAGCATCAACAATACTCTTCAAATATTTGGCGTGTTGTTTCGGTTGCTGCTTAGAATTTCGTCTTCCTTATTAATGTCATAGAATGGTAGTTGAGTCGACTGCCCTTGAAATCTTGGAGATAGATGGGCCCAGACGTTCTCATATGGATTGGAGAAGTGTTGGAGGAGGAGTCGAACTAGGGTCATGCTTCATGATCAACGGCATCAATAACCACTGAACCATGGTCAAAGTTTTATTACCTATGAGAATAGACAAGGATGACAGCTCACTAATATCTTTAATCTAAGTTCAAGGAAAGTCGGTTTCGAAATATTACTACGCTTTGTGCTAGCTGATAACAACACCGACTTCTGCACGATGTGCGCAATGATGTATGTCCGGAAGAAAAAGAAGTTGTTATCACCGGACATTATCATTATATCCACCATCAGCATCGTGTATAAAAGTGCATCACTGAGTGAGGATGCCTCATTCGAGGAGATGGCTCACTGAAGAAAACCTGACTCGACACGAAGGAGAAGCTGCCACGTCGAGACGAATAACAAGCGAAGACCATCGACTCGGATCATCGGCTCTGAGGAAGACGAAGACGTCGAAACGTTAGCCGAAAATAAACATCATTATCAACCTCGTGTAAGCTCATCAAAGAAAGAATACATCTTTAATCTAAGTTATTATAGAAATAAAAGTACACGATCAATGGAAATGAAAACCAACAATTAATAAATAGGAATAAATGAAAACGTGGAAAGCCGTATCAATGGGCCACACTACTATTGCGGGACATTATGTAGAAGAACAACCTCTGTCCACACGTTTCTGCGAAGTGTAGGATCTACGCGGCAGCACAGAAGTTGTACAGTTACGGAAGAATCCACACATCCCTTTGACTAGTAAAGCACCATAAGATGAGCAAATTGTCCACTCTGCCTTTTTCGACCTACATAACAGCTTCACCTTGATCAAATATTTTGAAACACGAGCAGGTTTTCAGAGGATTCTGTCCGCTAGATTCGTCTTCAGTACATTATTGCAATTGCTTCGGTGATATGTACAGTAGAAAAGTGAGAAACAATGTTTTCAAAGGATGGCAGTCCTAAACATTGTGTTAGCTCGAAAAATAACAAAACTTATACCTACAAAACCCTCACTCTTTCAAGTAAAAACGCGAAAATCTGTACTCCCCGAGAACTATGCAACGTTAGCAGATGGGATTTCTACGATTCTAATTCGTATTTCTCTAAGTTCTGCACGCAACCGTTATTGACCTATGAATATTTAATGGTGATAGATATATGATATTATTTTAGACTGGTACCTTAATAACTTAGCCGACAATAACTTCTTTTAGGTAGATTAGAAATAGCAATTATGTGAACAGAAGCTTACACATTGCAAAACGTTGGTGACGGTAAGTTAATCAACAAAAAATCGAATATTCATAACGTTTATTTGGCCTTGTTCTGTCTTGATGGAGCTAGTAATCATAGAATGTAGTAAGGACACTCGATCAGATTCAAGAGATTCCTAATTAAGCTAAAACGTAGCTCGTAAACAATAAAGAAAGGCGAGAGTAAGAGACATCAGATAAAAGCACGAGATTGCAATTAAATAGTAGAATTTATATGGAAATTGAATTACAGAGTAGAATATTCCTTGCTCAAATTTATGTATAACACAATAGGCGTTAACTTAACGGATAACTTAATAATAGTACGAAGACATTACTCTGTTGAAGAAGTGATGCCATCATCAAAACAAACTCATGTTGAATGCGATGCTTTAGTAAAGCTTGAGCGAGGAATGTGTCCAATCACAGGATTTATCACCAAAGAAGGTGAACAGGTATTTAATAGGCTTACTATAAACAATACAGAAAACACTGAGCAAAAACGTATAACAATACAACATCGAAGAAATCGTGAGCGTTCAGTGTACACCTAAACACTATGAAGAATAAAATGTGATATCAATATACCCATGAAACCGGCAACCATTGTGGACAAGCAGGCAACTTCTCCGCAATATTTTCAAGTTGACTGATTGTTTCATCAATATCGTTATTCACAATAACGTAATCAAACAAATGACCGAACGCCTGGCGCAGAATTTCCGATTCTCGCAACAGCCGCTCAAGACTACCATCTGGCTAAAATTGTCGAATGTTGAGAAGAAATAAATTGCAGAAGCATATGAGACTCACATCTTGGAGACCTTGGAGGTTTGGTGCAGCAATGAAGACTACAAAAGGGGAGTACTCTGCCGTTCTGAGCACCTCAACCAGGAGACGGAATTACATTACATTACTACTACTTGTTTAACTATACTACTGTAGTACATGAAGAACACATTTTACCTTCAGTGCTTGAGGCTCAACATCTAATATTGCAACTTTTCCACTTTTATGAATGTTTCGTATAGTCTCGAGCTTCGTTCCATACATACCTGCAAAAACTCAAAATATGCATACAATAAACCAAGCTCGTTCATCTAAATTCGTCTTACTTACTCTCTTCGTGAGTTCCATACTCAAGATATTCATTGTTTTGTATGTCGGCGAGCATTTGATCGCTCGAAACAAAAAAATAGTGTTTTCCATCAACTTCGTCTTTCCTTGGAGGTCTAGTGGTGTCTGAAAGTTATAAAACCTCAGCTATTCTATGGTGTCACTTCAAATGAATAAGTTAATCACTGTGACCAACGTGGTATTGGGTATGCAAATCTGGTAGGATGCCTGTGAATCAGAGTGTTCTTGATATGTCTTCGTCCTACACCGTGAGCCCCTAGTAGCACCAGTGTCTTCCTACGATATTGCGATAGGCGCATCACCTGGAATTTATCACACTTCGAAAAAATTTCCAGGCATTAACAATAGGATTAGTGTACATACAAACCTCTTCATAAGTAACGAGATCAAGTTGATCAAACAGAGCAGAATGCTTCTGGAGGTACTTTGTTGTGTAATACTTTTTCCTTCTATTGAACCACATACAGTGCGCTAGAAAATCACAGATGATGGAGAACGACGAAGTACAGCATTCGAAAAAAAAAAGAATAAGATAGCAATATTAATATTACAAAACTTTCGCCAATTATTACGATTGACGTTGCTGACCACCACATTAGTTAGTGAAACATGAATAATTATTCACGCAGCAAACGCACATTGGTCCTTAGCCCGTTCCATAGCAAGGCAAGCTGTCCTCCATTCCTGAAGTTCAGGTGAAGGGATCAAGCCAGCAACATGACCGGCAACCAAAGACGACGTTCCAAGTGAAGGAAAGCTGGATACAAATCGTGCTTGCCACCAATTATGATCGTCTTTTGAAATCACCTAAATAGGATGATGCACTTGTCTATTTCTTATCAAATTTCAGTTATTCTTCAGTACCTTACCTGAAGTACATCACCAGTTTTGAATGGTACGCCTGCTTGTGGACATGGGATTAGGTCATCTTGAGAAGGATCATAATCAAATTGTGCACGAACAAATATTTCACAAGCTGGAGGAGCAGACCGATACGACGGTACAATTTTGAAAGTGACCTAAATACATCCTAGTCAACAACGAATTCCTTTATATACAAAAAGTTACCTAGGAAAAACATGCAAACATATGTGATGTCCGACCTGTCCTCGAGCTTCTCTCAGCATTTGTTGGAGTGATTCGACAGGTCGATTGTTAACAGATACACCATCGATCTCTCGAATTTCGTCGCCAACATGAAGAGTTGCTTAACAAAACTTTTGTTTAGGAAGAAGACCAATGTAAACGTTATTGGTTTTGGCATTGGCTATCCTAGCATTACACATCTCATTTTTCTAACCATACTCGACAACTTGCACATATCACCAAAAGTCGAACCTGTTCGTACAAAATTTGTATAAAATTTTGTATAAAGTTCGTATTTGTATGGAATTACTACTATAGATACTAGAGCAGACTTTGGCCAGGCTGACCTCGGGACACCAGGAAACCACAATGGCTAGACCAGTAAAACTCCGAAAAAATGGAAATTATGCTGGGGCATGCACAACCAGTGAGGATGGGCCATCCAAACATCCAAGTGGCCAAGTATTACTGTAGATTTGCAAGAAAGTAGCGCACTTTTATCAAACACAAAGTACAACGATTTACAAATTATTATGATATATCTATTAAAAGTACACAAATGAATGAGGGAATTCCCAAATCGATAATAGGTTGCCAGACATAAGTAAACTTGAGATTTGTAGAAACTAGGAAAATCCGTCTGTCACCTTGTCTGTGAACCATTCCACCATGCATTATGCGGGCCACAAAACATCTTCCATCTTCAGTGACCTGAAATTCGATCTCTTCCATCATTTTCTGTTGGTTATGTTCTAATGCAACGAACCTTTAACGTAATTCCCATTGGCTCCTCAGTGTCCTTCTGAAATTGCACCACTCGAATCCTTGAAAGGGAGCCCATCAATAGATCCTCATTGTCATCACCTATTACAATGCAGCTGCTAGATTATAAAGCAACATCACAACTTCTATTGTTCAAACTTCTATTTCTCCATCAAATGTGTCTAAAACGTTAGCTTGATGAAGGTAAGCAGTAGAAGTAAACCTGTAACTGATGCAGGCGAAAATTCATCCACAGAAGTGCCAGCTCGTTTGGCTCCGAGAGGAAGCACACCACCATTCAAATAAGAATTTTGAAGAGCAGTCTGAAAAAGACTACACGAATTTCAAATAATGCAAAGAGATATGGCTCAATTCATTAAGGTGAAGTTCGCATACACGTTCATTGTTTATATCGCAGGAAATGAGCCAGCAATCTCTCATTCTCAACGATATATATATATATACATATATATATATACAAGACATAAATGATAAGATGTTCGACGTAGGCAGATCGATAGACCAAGAGCTTTTCTCCAACCGGACAAATTCGGTAACTTGGCAACCCCGAAGTGATGTAAGGCTTGTCTAGCACGAAGTGTGGGGTCGAAATAACGACCAGAAATGTGTATTACAAGGACTCCAAGCAATCCTCTATACCTGCCCCATATAAAGCATACAAAGGATAAAGCTCTCAGTATTGATCAATTCATGAGGGATGCGTCATGCATTCGACTTCACTGAACATCATTGAAGGTGACTAAATGCATACCTGGTCTTTACAATGACTCGCGGTGGCCCGCCTATGTATCGAGCCAGTGTGCTATCCTCCCAGACAAGTCTGGCACCAATTTATCGACCCTGGAGGATGGAAGACTTGGTGGGTCAAGGGCATGGGAATCGATCCCATGTGTTATTGCAGGGCTCCTCCGACCAATTTATGTATACAAATACATATGTAAATATATGTATATCTACACACGCATATTTATTTTGCGAACTTGCCTTTCACGTAGTTCAGATTTACAGGCAATTTCTTGATGAGTTTATGAAAATGAATTCGTAATTAGCTGTAAAAGTGTACCTGTGAGGAAGACGGGACATTCTGTGAAGTTTCATCTCTGTCTTCTCCTTCATAAACCTCTGAAATAACGACGTCATGAGCTTGAAGACATGCCTAAAATGGTTCGAATCTATCTACACGAATAATTCCATTTCTATTTCAGTTTTGCATCCAATATAGCTGAAATGCCTACGACATTAAATCTAACTTCTCCCGCATATCCAATAGCAGCGATTTTGCAGTTCAAGTGCTCTTTTAATACAAGATATAGTTAACATCATCTAAATATATTCCATATCCAAACGAATGCAATGTCCAAAGCACTTTAACTCGAATAAATCTCCTGTCCCTTCAAAAATTCAAATTCCAAATAGTGAAATCGAACGAGAGAAAAGAGCGTAATAAATTAGGCTGTTTTGGAAGTAAAATAATAGGAAAATCAGTGTTGGAGATATGTTTGAATATCTAGCCGAGCAAGCACTTCGATCATAACTAATCGATATTTTCGTTGAGATTCTTCTATTATAAATCCTAATACGAATTTCTCGAATAAAAACATCAAATGAGAAAAACCACAGGCAATTTGATACTTACTTAGACACTCGGATACAATCTTCACTCTATCGGAGTTTTGCTGGTTTAACTATTGCGGTTCCCTGGTGTTCAGACGACAGCTAGGCCAAAGTCTGCCCCAGGTCGTCACCACCACAGGCATTTGTCACCCGTGCGAATCAGAGGGAGATTTGCCACCATGCTACTAGTTTGATACCATAATGGTGGTGGATCCTGGTATTGGTTTACCCCTTGCTAAGTGGGCTTTCTGATGGAAATGCCGGACTCCTTCACAGTTTGGGAGACCCTGGGAGGGAGATGAATCTTCCGCTGTACATCGCAGTCCGACATCCAGGAACACCTTCTAGCCACGATGAGACGGTAAACTGTTGGGAGGCAAACAACACTGCCAATTTGATAGTGGAGTAAAATCAGAAGCTAGAGTTTACTATGTCGGAACCTTTCTATAGAACAAGAAAGAGAAAAAAACCTGAACGAAGAAGAAACGATGAAAAGTGTTCGACGACAACTAACTTTCATATCACTGGAATGCAAAAGTTGCCGCAATTCCAAAGCTTCGGGTGTCGGATGAAGCAGAGAGCCAATATGTGCTGCAACCTGAATAAAACTTAAATACGAAAAAAAACGAAAACAAGAAATGATCCGGGTATCTTTCACGTATTGAACGGGCTCTTAAGCAGTACAAGTCTTAGCTAATGAAACTTTCAGCGATCTGATATTTTTGCACCGGGAAGGAAAAAAAAAAGGGATCAGAATCACTCAGAGAAAAATATTTCCGTAATGTTCCAAGATCAAGCTAAATATGACTCATATAGGGAAAAAGTAGAGCACTCAATCATATAAAAATAGAAGGAGCACTGAGCTACCGTACGATTCAAACCACAATTAAATTTCAGATGAATGAAGACGAAGAAGTATTTTCGAGTAAAACAATTTCTTTCAAATTTAAAACTACCTCAGTACTGCTTCTGGAAACAGTACTAACATTGAGGTACATTATTCAAAAGCAATGAAAACTTATTACGCTGCAGTATCTCACCCACAGACATCATCTCCTGCTTCGCGGCTCCCCATCATAGTCCACGTTTCTGAGGTCCTTTGTAAACATCTAGTTAATAATTTAATACTGGAAATGTCTACATCTGAATGTGTTGAACGATGAAATTGCAGTAGAGACAGCGTACGGATTTAACCTAACCATGACAAACCGTGATTTCTAGTGGTCACCACACGACAACCAATTTTCTGTAGGTTGTATTGGATCCATTGCGTATTACCCGTAACGCTCACCTCAAAGAAAAACAAGGATATCAAGTAATATCTCTACTAAGAGTAGTTACAACGCTATTCTGTCGATAGCAAAAGCGATTAATTACCACGGCACTCAGGCGGGACGTCCAGACATCTTCGTAACCTCATTTCTGACACTCTCGCCATCTTTGCACCCTCCTCACCAACAACGATTTCTGTGGCTTGACGAACAAACGCAAGCAAAAAAAAAAACAGTTTTTTTGCACATTATTAGGTGTACAATAGAACTGTTCTTCAACAACACCTGGCGGAACACCTGTAGTAGGGAAGTTAACCATTGAGCACAAAAAGCACAGTGATATGAACGCTCACTATCGCCATAACAGTGCTTTTAGGGCCACCAGTCAGAAAACCTCGCTACCCTCATTTTACGTTCAAATATTGATCACGTGCATGACAGTAAACAGGGTTACCACATCATCATTAGTCTAAAAACGTGGAACACTTTCACTTACTAAGCGTTATAACGCTAAAGTAAGAAATTCAGTAGGAGTGCAGGTAATTGGCGGCGAATCGACTTCTGTAATACTCCACCAATACTAGTTGTATTCCCAGCATCGACTTTCTATTAATCTCGGCATTGGATTATAAATGCGCCTTTTTCTTTCTCAGCAATCGAAAGGTTGTTATTCAGCTTATAGTTATATAGTCTATATACCAGTTATATTCTCTTCGTAAACAATGTATGCTAAAATGCTCCACTGTGAGTGAGGAGAATGCTGGTGCTACGAACTCCCAGCGGCAGCTGTCAGCAAAGACTTGGCACTTGGGGGCAGAAGTGTTTTTCTATGTGGATTTCAACGAGCAATCAGTTCACAGAAGGAATTCGTAAAACACTGCAAGACTAAACAAATAATAACACCGAAGATTGACATAAATCCGTCTTTAGATGATAGCCTCAACACGACTATGACCATATTCGTTCATCTACGTATCTAAAATTTACAAAATAAGTGAATTCAGTGGTAACACGCTAGTCCTCGTAAAAGGTTATCGCATATTCGAAGCTAGGATGTTGCCCCCGAGTTTTGCAAGTATCTTAACATTAACATCATTGTAAGTGAATTCTGTTCTATTCACGAAGTAATGCATTAGCTCAAGGTTAAAAATGAAAAAAAAAACAGATAGACTAACACTGAAAAACCACCACTAAACATTGATAACGGATAAGACACCAACTCACATCACGATTTAGCCCTGATGCCTCCTTTTCCAATTCTACTGGATGACAGTTTAGTTGTGAGATCCGGTCGTACAACTGAAAACGCTAACACTAGATTGCAACAGATGCATTCAGGAATATTTGACTGGTGGGAATAAAGTCCACACTAAATTTAAAATGTTGGCAACCAGTACACCAATTACATAACGGGGAAATTGTCGAGACCAACACTGTGTAACATATAACTTAACAACTGACGGCAATCCAAGCTTTCCGATAATGCGACAGAAATAACGCAACATAGCATGAAATTTCGTCATGCAGCAGAACTATAGAATTGTCAGTACCTACAACCACAGTCAAAAAGAGAATCACATGCACTCGGTGGAAACACACCTACAGTAATCATCGAGCAATGAGTGACAGAACAAGCAGCAACCCAGACTTGAAGCTGCTTAAGAAGAGTCCATTATTTAATAAAAGCAAGAAGTACTTTAGTGAAAAGAGAAAAAAAATGGTGAACATCTATACCACTGTCGAAGTGGTCTCACGTGAGAGGTTAAAATCATTGGCAGATCAAAGGCTTCCTGTGGATTTGTGGTTCACAGACGCATTCCGTTAGACAAGAGAAAGAATAGAGAATAGAATCACGACAACATTGACCACAACGACTGCTTACAGAACCAAGGCACAAGACACATACGACGAAACGAATACGACCAAGAACGATGAGAAGCACAAAAAGATATAGTGGAACAGTGTCGGTGCCATGGGTTGAACGCGAACCCATCTGGCCTCTACCTAGGGGGGTGACACGCTTTCGGTTTGCGCCAGAGGACCTAGCCAGCAACGCCTGCGCCGACGAGCGAACAAGGGCCGTTACTAAAGAGTTAGTACTGTAGTTATGAGTCGGGTCGTACCCACCTGTTGGGGAACGGTGACTTGGGCAACCTGCGAGTCATGCGCCATGCCGCGCGCACACTGCCGACATCGATTCGGGCGCCAACATGGGCGCCGCCTCTTCATTCAGTCAATCAATGTTCATCATATCCACTACATCCCTCAGGCACCATAGATGGAATATTCTCCCATGCTTTCCACCCGTACGGCAGTTCCCGAATAACCCGTGGTGTTGACGGGCTCACATGTATTGCGTCTTTTCACACTAATCATCTATGCGTTTACTTTGTCATACGTCCACTTTTCATGTTCCATTGTTTCCTTGATTCAGTTTTTCTAAAATATGAGTCAAATATCTCGAAATCAGCTTCTTTTCCCATACATGCTATGTGG